TCGAGGAACCTCTTTGTGGGTCCTCTGTGCATGCGTGTGGTCTTGGAGGGAGGGGTGAGTCTCAGCCCCGAGAGGACTCGCTGCACTGGCGACATCCGACCCTGGCGGCAGGAGAGGTCTGCCCCACTTTGCTTTCCCTGCGGGCGGCCTCCCCTACGAGGCCCAAAGGGGAGCCCAGCAGGTGAGGTGGCTGCAATGCTGTTCCCGGCGCCTGACAGGGTCCCTGCACTACAGGCGTCCCGGCCAGTCCTGCAGGTGTACGCGGCAGGTCTGCGCACGATGCTCCCCGGCGGGACTTTCGCCTTCCTGGCAGTGTGCCCACCAGCTTCTCAACAGCCCACAGAAGCCGAGGAAGGATAAAGCTTCCTCTTCTTGGGCTCCAAAGACTCCATCTCCCAGCGTCCCTTGGGAAGACTCCAGCTCCCAGCGTCCCTTGCATTTAGTGATGCTATGGCCTGGGTCTACCTATGGGATGGAGGTGAAGGAGGAGGTAGGAGACTGCAGGAGATGACTGATTACAAAGTAGGAAGCGCTCAGCACGGGGACCGATTTTTAATACAATCTCTTGGGACGTGCCAAGCAAAATAAAATTCTGAAGAAGCCTAGCTCCTCATTTGTGACGGACTATAAGGAAACTGAAAATAAATCAGGTTATCGGGTCCAAGTGGAAAAGTTTAAGAGGGTCTGGGGTGTGATCTTTTTGAAAAAATTTCATTTTGGTCAACCCCAATGAAAGACAGGGTTGTTTATTTCTCTTCCAAGGTTAGAATTAGTGACTTTATTTGATAGACTCTCCCCGATGTTCCCTGAAGTGGAGTAAGATGGAGGGGATGGGAGAGGAGTGTGCTCGGCCCACGTACTCACACAGCAAGAAGCAGGTTCAACGGCCAAGGACGTCCACCTCCCCTCCCCAGCCCCAGGCAGCGGGGCCCCTAGCAGAGCTCTCTCCCTGAGCCCTGCCCTTCCACCTATGCCCCTCACTCCGGGGCCGTGGTCCCGGATCGTCTTGCCTTGGGATCCTTCCCACCTGGACAGCGTTCCTGTCCCGGCGGAGGCCAGCTGCTCAGTCTGCACCCACCGAGCACACCAGAGCTCTGGTCCCCTTAGCAAAGGTATTCTGTCGCTCACAGACGTGTGAGGCCATTTCCTAAAAGCTGGTTTGTGAGAACAGGTGAGGTGCCGTGGATACGCAGGAAGCAGGAAACCATCCCCCGGGCAGAAGCCGCTGCCGCTGAGCAGGGCAGGCCCTGCAGTTACGGGTAGCGGGCCACACAGGCCACTCTGCGTGGACGGGGAGTGTGGCCTGTTTCACCACCTGCGTAAAGAGGCTCGGCTGGAGGGCAGGCAGTGTGGCCCTGCGTTGCCGGAGGCAGGCTGCCTGAGTCCCGCCCTGTCACTTGGACACACACAAGTACTTAGCTCCTCTGGCCGAGTTCCTGCTCTACAGACCAGGAATGTTTAAAAACGGGGCACGTTATGCCTGAGTCCCCAGGTTCTTATGAAGACGAGGAGGGTTAACAGGTGCTTCCAACCCTGCTCGGCACACGAGGAGCCCGACGTTACGCCGAAGGACGAGGGGCCCTCGCAGGGCAGGTGGGGCAGTGGAGGAAAGAGCGTTCTAGGTGACGGGGAGGTGCTCCGACGCTCAGGGACTCGTGCTCAGCAAGGCTGGCGGGGAGGGGGACGGCGGTCCTGTGGGCGCCCGGCCGCGGGGGCATCGGGGTGGGGGGGAGCCGGGGAACCTCTCCGCCCTTCCCTGCCCACCCGCACCCTGCTCTCAGTCACCCCGCGGCCTGGGTGCGTGCCCAGAGCTGTGCAAGGCTGCTGCCTGTTTTCCTTTCCCACACCCTGCCGGCTGCGTGTTGCGGGAGAAAGTCAACCCCGGGGGCATGCCCCCCCCGGCCCTCCCCGTGCGCCCCTGGCCAGGCTCTGACCTCCCCCAAGCTCTGCCTGCCAGTCGTTCTGGATCTTCAGTGGCTGCCTGTCTCTCACCGTTTCCCTTTCTGACAACACGCGGTTTCTCTCCTCCTGAGGCCGCGCCCGCCCGGGAGATCCGCGTCTCCCTCCTGAATGTCTCCTGCCACCGGCCACATCCTCACTCCCCACTCCGACACCTGCCCTCTGCCCTATCTCAGAGGGTTTTGGTCACTGGGTCCCTTGCCTAGCTGTCCCCATCTGGGTTCTCTGGAACCCTCTCCACGGCCCCCGGGAGGCGCGTGTGGCAACTGCTTTGGGTGACAGTGCTCGTTCGGCTCACGGCTGGCCTGCGAGGTGACGACGGGGAGCAGCCCTGGCGGGGAGAGTCGGTCGGTCCCTACTGCTTGGGAAGCATTTACAGGTCACGAGGGCCGGTGCGGTAGCGTCAGAAACCAGTAATTCCACTTCCTGTACTACTGGAGGGTCTGTAGTGCGTCCCGATAGAAATCTGTCTGATTTATATGGGAAAGTATCTGGTTTTGAGTGACTTATTTTTCATTTAAACGTTGCTGTTTTCGGAAGACTCAGCCAATCCGACATCTCCTATGTCCTTTACGCGAGCTCAGCTCGGGACACAGACTGGAGCCCCCCGCCCTCCACCACAGGGTAGAGAGCTTGACCCCCAGACTCGAGTGACCAGAACGAACGGAACGGTGTCCCAGGAGGCGGGGCCGTGGCGCGCAGAGCCCCAGCGGCCCTGACCAGCCCCGTCCCGGGATGTCCACGGGGTGCGACCTCCTGGAAGAGGAAACCGGGGAGAGCGGCCCAGAGGGCGTGGAAGCTCACTCAGGGTTTCTGTCCTGGCGCCGTCAGACGTGACCCCGTGTTGCCTCGGAGGCTGTCCCACTTTGGGGGGGAAAGAGGAGTAATGGGAAGTTTGTGTTTTCCCTGCACGAGGGGCATATGAGGAGCCCCACATCTCAATGCACCCAGGCTGTCTTTCTGGAGGCTCCTCCTCGGTAAGGCCTTACAGGTTTGGGGGGACGGCTGGCCTGTCACCCCACACGGCCGGGGCCACAGCCTCCCACGGACGAGCCGTCAGACGCTTGTGCAGCTAACGTCTGCACGCTTGGCCGGTCTTGCCCGGGGTTACTATTCTCACACCTTCGGGGAATCATGTTTTGCCTACTCAATACAATAAATGAGAACCTGTTCAGGAGATAAAAACTGCAGGTGAACAGACAACATAGGATGTGATTCAGCCTTAAAAAGGAAGCACATTCTGACGCCTGCTAGGCATGATGAAGTCTCGAGGACGTCGTGCTCCATGAAATGAGCCAGACGTAAAAGGACAAATGGCGGCTGATTCCACTCATCCTACGTCCCTGGAGCCGTCAGATCGCAGAGGCGTGGAGTGGACGGTGGGCCCCGGGGCCGGGGGGGGTGGCCAGGGTCAGTGTTACTGGGGACAGAGCTGCAGTTGGGAAGGTGGGAAGCTTTTGGAGGTGGACGGTGGGGACGGCCGCACAGGCAGTGAGCTTTACGCCGCCGAGCTGTGCACCTAAAGGCAGTTAGGGTGGGAAGACGTGTGTTTCACCACAACTTATACACAGCGCAGCTCAGCTCTGCTCTCGGTTCTGTTTGTCCCCTTTACCCGCGTGCTGCCCCCGTTCTCCTTCCCGCACAGACGCGGAGACCCTCCGCCCGCACCTTCACCGCGGCACCTGTGGGGCAGGCACTCGCCCGCAGGCGCGCCGACGCCCTGTCCTCCTGCGGATGAGGGAGGCGGCGGCTCACAGGCCAGGACTGGCCTCTGCGGCGACTGGGTGACTGGGTGGCTGGGAGAGGCCGGGTTGACGGAAGGGCCCCTGACGCGAGCGCCCTGACGAGTCTCCCCTCCCGGGTGCTCTGCAGGCAGGGTCACAGCGTCTGTGAGGCTCGGCCAGCAGGGCTGGTGGCCCTGAGGCTTGGCCAGCATCATCGGTCACAGCTGGGGGGACTCCTGTGTCACCTGCAGGGACTTGGGCAAGTGGGCAAAAGAGGGCGCTCTGGGGCCAGCATCTCTCCCCTGGGACCCAGGACAGTTTCTCGGTGCAGCCCCTCAGCCCAGTAGTAGGAGTGGGGTCTGTCCGTGCACAGAGATGGATGGACGGACACTGGATGAGCCCTGAGCGTGTGAACATCTGCAGGCTGCGCGGCCCCTCTGTTCAAGGGCAGCTCCTCACAGGAGACGCCGGGGCCGCTGGCCTTGGGCCGCAGGCTGCGATTCGTCAGGGGTTTGACCGTGTTTCCTCTCCGGTCCCCCTGATCCTGTGGGAGGTTTCTACCCCAGCAGGATTTTCTTTCACGATGAAAAATCAACCTTCCTTTCAAGGGACATTTAAAGGCTCAGACCCACACGTCCCCGAACACACCATGACTCTTTCCCGTTTGCACGCAGACTTCCGTCCGCTCTGGGCTGGACACGGCTTTACCGCATGCCCTGGTGTCCTCCGCCCGCCTTCCAAGAGGCTGGGGCCACCGTGCCCCACAGAGTCCACTGGCCTCTGTGATCTGTCTGCACCACCCACCTTCCACGCAGAGCCCGCCCAGCGCCATTAGATTCGACAGAATAGGCCTCTTCTGCGAAGACAATCTAACTGCATATGTTTCTTTTCAAATTGAGTAAGTAAAAATGAATGGGTTGATTGGCTCTTCTGGAAGCTGCCTGATGTGCTTCCGGCCCAGGCGTGCAGCGTGAGGTCCCCGCGCTAAAGACCACCCTCCCTCCCCGAGCGGGCCTGCCCGCACCCCCTCCGCGGGAGAACAAACCTACATCAGTTCCTGTGTGTGCAGATACAGCGCGCCTCCCTGTCGATCCTGACCCAGGACTTTGGAAAACCTGTCCTCGTACGTAGATGGGAACGAGGCGGCTCAGAACGCACTCGAGGCTTTGCCTCTTTTCGCCCCAGAAAATCACGAGTTGGTAGCACGTTTCCACCTTTTCTTTCTAAACGAGGGCGTCGAGTCAGAAGCCGCCAGCCTCGCGTCATCGCGGCTGTGACGGAGGCTCCCGGCAGGGGCCGGGACAGGTATCCACTCACCTCCGGTGTGTGAGGAAGCTGCCACTGACGTGCCCCGACCCGTCACATCCCGGCGTGGGACACGACATGCCCTCTGTCTTGACCGACTTCCAGGAGAACTGGGAGCCATTGAGGTATCCGTCCTTCTGCCGCTTGGCGGCCAAGGGACATCCTGACGCGCTGCGATGGGAGGCGTACTTCCCGGTTATGTGGCCCTGGCCGTCACACCCGGGAACGGGACATCTGGGGAGCAGAAAACACGCGCTTTATGGTCTTGCCATCATATGCCTGGCGCCTCTACAAGGTCAGAACCTGGCTTGAAGAGAAACCCGCCAGCTGCAAAGGACCCAGAGAGATCCTGAGAGTGCCACCTGGTGGGGAGCTGAGGTAACTCCTCGCGCGGAAGGCCTGGCCGGGCCGCCCTGACCAGCTGACCAGGAAGGCTGTTTTGGAGCAGTGTCTGCATTTGGGGGCGAATGCTGGACGCGGCAAGTGGGACGCAGGCATCTGTTGAAAAGACCCCACTTTTGGACAGAATCACAGCTCTTTCGGTGGAGGAATGCAAGGCCAAGGAGAAATTGCGGGATTAGTTTTTAAAGGCGATTGGATAAGGCTGTGTTTTTCTCCAGCTAGAAAGCCTGCCCGGTTTCGCCGTGTTCTCCGGGGCCGGAACATAGTCTCCAGCCAGAGAGGATGCTAAGCAGGAGAGAGATTTCAATTAAGTCTCCTGGAACGGCGTCGGCACGTGGCACACCATCAGTACATTTTTGGGGAATATGTGGGAAAATCACTGGCAGCAGCTGAAGGTCAAGGGCAGGCCAGCCCCGCTCCTGAAGCCTCCCCACCGCAGTTCCCGCCGCAGGGCGGAGGACACACAGCCAGACCGCTAATGGCTGTCGCACGGAGGGTGGGGGTGAGTCATTGCTCCTCACAGGCCCCAGGCTGGCGGGTTTTACGTGCATTTTTTTAAAGGCAAAGTTCACATTCTACAAAATTTGTATTACCCACTTATTTTGATAAGTTTCATACCATTTTTATAATAATTTTAATTTTGTTTTAATACTTTTTTTTTCTCCAGAGACACGGAGATGAACATTTCAGGAAGAGGGCGCCGGGTTTACCTTACAGGGCTTCGGGCCCTGGCTCCGGGCACCGCTGTGCGGAAACGCCGGCTGGACGTGCCGGGAGCCCAGGGGCTGCCTCCGCTCTCAGGTCCCACTGGACGACCGGACGGGGCGGCTGCGTGGTTGCCGGGGCCGGAGCGCCAGCGAGCCTTCCTGTCAGTGCTGCGCCAACACCTGCCTCCCCCCATCAGCGCGACTGCGCTGTCCCCCGAGGGGCGGAGGGACGTTTCTCAGTCCGCTTCCTCCAGGCATCAGGTGCGCTCTGGGACTGGTGCCCACAGGCAGCCTTGCAGGTGACTGACCTCCCCTCGTCCCTGCTGCCGGCTGGCCTCCCCCAAGGACCCGCCGCCCTCTGCCTGCCCCACACGCGTACCTGATGGGCTCCTGGTCCTCTTTGTCTTCCTTGCTCTGTGCTATCCTGATGCCACTTTTCTTTGCTCTCGGGCAGCCTGAAAGACTAAAGAAGGGACATGGCTTCAGGACGCGTCCGCTCTGCAGCGCGGGCAGGCCCCTCCCCGGCGGCGCTGCTCAGACCCCGTGTCTCCAGGAGCCGGAGCTTCTCCCGGTGAACACGAAATTCTGGGAGGAGGGTCCCTCTGGGTGTGGCCCCTATGTGTGCTCTCCAAGTCTTCAGACCCCGTCAGTCCCCTGGGGGGGCGGCGGGGGGGCACTGTGACCAGCACTGGGCGGCCGGGAGGGGCTGGGGTGCTGGTGGGGACAGGCCGGGCGGCGGGGGCAGAGACGGGGTAATGCTGAGGAAGGAAACACACGGCCCTTTGGTCTCTTCCTCAGTGACCCGCTGTCCGGACCCTGCCATCTGGGGACAGCGACCGGTGGTCTGTTCTGACTCCCCTCAAGTACAGACTCCCCGTGAATCTGCAGAAGGTGCAGACGAAGTTGAACATGATTATTTTATTCAATTGTCAAAATTTTGGAAACAGAAGCTCCCATTTACGTAAAGGAAAACTTGCAGCTGGCACAGGAAACTACCCGTACGTGTACGAGCGTGTACAAGTGTGTACGCGGGCTAACAACAGGCTGTGATGAGAGACTGTGCACGAGAACGGACGAGGGACACGGGGTTCTCCTGCAAAGACTGAAGAGTCAGAAACGGGGCCATTTGTGGAGACGCCAGCACGCACGATGCAGACTTGTGGGTGCCGACGTGCGGCCAAGACCCAGGGGGGCCCCAGCCAAACCCCCCCCTTCCTGCGCGGCTGGCGTGCACCTCCTTGCTGAGCACGCTGATCCTCGGCGTCCCTCACCCATCGCTGTGCTGGGCCCCTCAGCACCTTTCCTGGTTTCCTCTCGCAGGAGAAGCAGCACCCTGCAGGCAGAGGGTGGGGGCCGGGGGCCTGGGCCCTGGGGCTGGGGGTTCGGCCCCACTGCTGCCCCCTCCTGTTTCCATCGACAGGCATCCCAACCCCCCAGATTGCGGCCTGTCTGCTACGTCACGGTCTCCTTCGACAGGAACGTGGGAAGACCAGATGTGCCTGAATTCCCTCCCTCCTGCTGCCTCTGTTCCTCGTTTCAAGGCAGAACCTTGGAAAGTGGGTGTGCTGCTCCTTGGCTGCCCCCACCGCGGTCCAGCTCGGACCTCCCGCCAGCAAAGGCGCTCTTCCCGGGCCACCACGATCCGAGGCCGGCGGGCGCTCCTGGCCTCTGGCAGGTGACGCCCCTCCGAGCCCGTCTGCAGGTCCTGTGTCCCGGGAGGTCAGTGTCGCGCACCGCCCTCGCTTGCGGCCTGTGCTCACGCGTCCCTCGAGCTCCCGCGGCCTGCCAGGCCTTCTCCCCGCGCGTCCCTCCCTTCCCGCAGGGCCCCCTGCGGCCCCTCTGCGGTCCCGGACAGAACTCAGGGCCCGCGTCCTTCTCACTCCTGGTCGCGTCTCTTTGGCCGACGCCCTTCATTCCTACTAAAGATTAAACTCCTCACCCTCAGCTCCCGAAACCCCTCTCCGCGTCTTGCGTGCTCCTCTCCACGAATGGCGTCGGCTCCCTGGCCCGAGACAAACGCACTTCACCCTCGGGAACACTGGGTCTTATTTGCCCGGTGCTGCTGGTTTTACGTCCTCAGTGCGGAGACCGCCTGCTTCCGCCACGCCGCCGTGTGGGGCAGGCTGGCGTCACCCCGGGCTGCGCGAAGCCGCTCTGTTCAGGACCTTCCGAGTTCCGGGGGCGCGTGAACCGTGAGCTCGGTCACCTCGTCCAGCCCTGCGCTGTGTGTCCAGCAGGGGGTCTGCATGTGCCCGCGCCCCTGCCCGGCTCAGGTCCGGGGCCCTGCTTCCATCCGCCAGCTGCTGTCTCCTCCTGGGTGTTCCCAATTCTTCCGGGGGGCACTTTCGGGTCCTCCCTGCACAGTTCACATAAATTCCCACACGACGGCGAGACCACACAGGCAACGTGTTCAGTAATGCTCGTGGCACGTAGTACGTGCTCAGCAAATGCTGTCTTTGGTCATCAGAGACATTCTGGAGCCCTAAGCATGCAGCTGCCCTCTGAGGCTGGGCGGCTGTCCTGGGGGGCCCGAGTCACCCGGTGGCTCCAGGGCTTTGGGTCTCTTGCCGTGTGTGAGCGATGGCCGGGCAGAGGGATGAGTGGCCCTTCGGGACTGCATGCTGGGGCCACACTGGGGGGTCGCTGCCCTGGCAGGAAACCGCAGGCCTGGGAAGGGGGCAGCTCAAGCAATGGATCTCTGTTGTCCTTGTGGACAGGGCCGTGGTCTCTGTGGACCCCTCCACCCGTCCCTGGCAGACATGGTTCCTCTGATCACTGAGGATGGAGAGAGGCAGAACATCTGATGGCAGGCTGTTTTTTGTCTTTTGTTTTGTTTTTTTTTTTAGTTTATTTATTTTGAGAGAGAGGGAGAGACAGAGAATCCCAAGCAGGGTCTGAGCTGTCAGCACAGAGCCTGGCGCGGGGCTCGAACTCACACACCGTGAGAGTGTGACCTGAGCTGAAGTCGGATGCCTAACCGACTGAGCCCCCCGAGGTGCCTGGTTTGTTTTGCTTGTTGTTGAGGGAATACCAGAGGCCGGAAGCACACACGGCTGTAGTGGGTGCAGAGGACCACAGAGCTGGCGCAGGGACGGGGACACCCCACCATGGAAACGGAGACGGAGCGAGCACGGGCCAGAAGGGATTGCGGGACCTTCACGGCCATTCTGGGCAGGGAGGCGGCGGACTCCGAGCCCGCTTCCTCCGTGTGAGAGGACATGACCTCACCTGACACCAGTGTGGCCCTGAGGGCCACGGAGCGAAGCACACTGTCCCCAGGCTCCCGGGCAAGGGCGGCACCCTGGCCTCTGTGCCCGTCAGGAGGGCAGCTGGCCAGGGCACTGGCCGTGTGCGAGTGTGCACGTGTGTGTGCACGTGTGCGTGTGTTTGTGCATGTGTGGCCCGAGAGGGAGGGAGGCCTCTGTCTACAGGACAGACGGCACTGCCCTGTGGGGGCGCTGCTGTCAGGGGAGTGCGGGGTGTAGGCCGCGCTCAGCTGTGCTGGAAACCGGGTCAGAGCCATGTGCTCCCTCTGCAGAGGACCCGCCTCCCCGCCCCCCGCCGGGCTGGGCTCTTCAGGAATCCTGGGCTTCCTTATGTTTTATTCACAGGTTTATGCTGTGTCAGAACCCACCCACCTTTCTAACCTAGAAGTTCAGGGAATAAAAATGGTGAAACTAAATTATTAACACATGACACGGGGCCAAGCCGAAAGGCAAATCAGTAGCGGGACATGTATCTGGACTCAGCGTGACGGGCAAATGCTCGGTGTTAGCTGTGCAGACACCACGACATGCCGGGGGCCTGGCCACGTGAGGACACAGACGTTTCCTTTCAGGATAAAATAAAGGGTAGTATAGAACGTGCTTGGCTTTTCCTACTTCTCCGGAGGGTTGGATTTAACTGACTTCACTCTGAACCAGTGACTTGACTCTGGCGGCGTCGTGGGTGGTTTCTCCTGCTCCGCATTTGCCTGGCCGTGGCGGGCTCTGAGCTGACCCGCCACCTGCTCCCGGCCCCGTGGTCCTTGGGGGTGGCCCCGAGGAACATGCGGTGACTTCCAGAGACTTCCGTGGCTGTCAGGGGCCACGGAGGTGGCGCCATGGCGTCTGGTGGGCAGCCGCCCTGCCGTGCGTCGGGCGGGGCATCGTCTGACCCCCAGTGTCCACGGGGCCCCGGTGGGCACCCCTAGCGTAGAGGACGCGCGTGAGGAATCCTCCCGTGACCCCACGGAGGTGCTCCCTGCCGGTGTTCCTAACCTGTGCCTGTCACGGAGCGCCACCGCCGCCGCTGCTGCTGAGAAGCCCCCCGAGCGGCTGCTGGGTGAACCCGCGGCCCACGGCAGGGTCCCGGTGCGGAAGCTGTGTCTGTCCCTCACCCAAACTGGGCCAGCAGCCGGCCAGTGTCCCCTGCTCTGACCACTGGCATCTGGCCACTCGGGCAGCCACGTGCGGCACACGATCCACTGACCCACACGGTGGGCCCGGCAAACACTCTCCCTCTGGGGGTGGCCGGCAGCTAACGCTCATTGTCAGGGGCCTCTGCTCTTCCTCTCTCCCCTTCTCGGCCCCTCTCTCCCCGTCTCCCCGCTCCCCTTCTCTCTCCCTGCCTCCCGCTCTCTGTGCCTATCTCCCCCTCTTCCCCCCTCCCTCCCCCTCCTCTTCTGCCTGTCTTTCTTTTTTGTGCTGTGGGAGACGCATCTGAAGCCCACAAGCCTGTGGACGTTAGGGCCGCCCACCTCGCACTGGGAGACTGGGGCCGTGACCAGGCAAGGCGTGTCCCTATCTGCGGGACGCAGCACCTTCCACTGTTGGATGGGAACCCCTTGTCCCGACCGTGGCCTTGGCCTGCTGTTGCTGACGGAACAGGAGAAGAAAGCGTGCACCTGTACCCAGACCTAGACCCACTTCTGTGGACACGATGCCTCCAAAGTTTCTTTTGATTCCCTCCTGACCCCGGGCCGGGCATACGGGAAGGGGTCTCTGCGCTGCCCTTCGGACAGTCCCTTCCCCTCGGGAGCAGTGGCGCCTGTGGGGAGTCCTGTCTTCAGCTCTGCTACTTGGCGGCTCAGATTTTAGTCGTTAAGAGGCCGGCTCTCCGCGGTGTTGGGGCGCCTGCCTCTCACTGGCCGTCCTGGGACCTTATTCAATGCCAGAGACGGTCCTGTCCCCGCACTCTTCTGGTTTAGAAAGGCTGCTGGGTGACCCGAGAAATGTCTCACAGATGGGTGAGCTGCAGGACAGGTGGGCGTAGGCGGAGCTGGCGGTTTGGAGCCCTGAGGGTCTGCCTCCTGTGAAGACCCCCTGAGGAGGCCGTTGGGGCGGCCTGGTGTCTGGAGCCCGTGCATAAGCGGGTGGAGCGGAGGGCGCGCCGGAGCCCGCTGGTGGCAAGGCGCCTGCGCGGTGGGGAAAGGAGGGTGGGGGGCGTGCAGGGGCACGGGCGGGCCACGTACCTTCGATGAGAAGCGTAGTTGCCGGTGATGTGCCCGGAGCCATCGCAGCCGGGGGTCGGGCACCTGCAAGCACAAATGCACATCGGGCGGTGACTAGGGAGAAACCAACCCCTCAACGCTTCGCTTCTTTCCTCATCCAGAAAGCACACTCTCAATGCTTCACCTCCCGGCCAGGGAGAGAGCAGCGGGGCAGGAAGCCCCGTGGCAGGGAACGCCACCTGTGCCCACCTTGTGCGCCACTGCATACCAGCCTTGACCACCTTCCTGCTTCCAAGCACAGGGATGCGCCCGGAGCCTCACACCCTCAGTACCTGCCTGCTGCAACACCGCCCAGGGCTTGGGCTCGAGGCTCGATCCCAGAGACTCTGTCCCCTGCAGATACCCCCCGGCCGCTTCCCTCCTGCTCCCGTGAGTCTCGGGGGGTCGGTGGGACTCGGCCACAGTGGTCACCTGCAGAGCAAGCTCTGTACGTGGCAGGATGTGCACGGGGACCGCTCTGTCTACACTTGAAACACCAGTACGGAATTGGGCTCCCGGTAAAGCCGGGCCATCTGGCTGACATGAGTCCAGTGAGGGCGGCGCCTGGACGTGAGCTCTGGGGACTCCGGCAGAGTGTCCTCGTGTGCTCAGGGGACCTCGAGCTGCCTTAAAGCCCTGTGCCCTTATCTGACCCGAGCGGAGCCTAGATCTCTTGGTCAAGCAGACCCAGTCAGTCCAGACCCTGGGTTCCTTCTGGGCATCTGCACCGCCTGCGTCAGCCCGGCTCACGCGACACGGTGTTCCTTAGGAACGGTGTCGTAATCACTGCCCTCCCTACACCCTCCTACGTGCGCCTCTCAAGGACAGTCAGGTGCGCCACAGAGACCTTGCACTTCAAGCTATTCTGGTTGCCAGGTAGCTACTGGGACTGTAAAACATAAGGACAGAAATAAAGAAAAAAATTCTTCTTTCTTTCCATGCAGTGTGTAACTCTCAAAAACAACAAGGATGAACGGACTTAGTGAGAACGTCACACCTGGGTCCTCCCCGTGCCCCGTCCCCTCTCCACGAGCTCCTGAGCGCCTGGCAAGGACAAACGCCGCCGACTGCAAACACTCAGTGAGCACTGCTTCCGAGGGAGTTCACATTCCTTCCCGCTCAGAGTCACCGTGGACACCGGCGTCCCCGGAGGGGTGGCGCAGGACGCGGCACCCGCAGCCCGGGCGCCGCTGGACACGGACGGACTGTGGGTGCTGCGTGCCGACGCACTGCCTGCCTCTGCTGCAGTCCTGAGAAAGGGGTCGGCCGGGGCCCCCGGCTCTCAGGCTGTGCTAACGGGCACGTGCGGTATCACGTTGGAGGTCACAGTTCCATTTGCGGCCTGTGCTGTGAGGGCAGAAAGAGGCGAGCGGGGAGCGTTTGCCACGTAACTGCTGTGGACACGGGAGCCAGGAGCTCTGAACTAGGCGTCTGCGGTAGAACAGCGCGGTGCGCGGAGTCTGCGTCCAGAACCACCACCTAGACCCGGCTGCTGACCTGACTTTTGTTCAGAGTAACAGCTGTCTGTGTGCAGTTAAAGTCTATTCTGCCAATTGGTGAGTAATTATTTTTTCAATAACAACTTAAGTGACCTGGCTGACCTGGCTGTTCCCCCAAGTGGCGCCTCTTGCGGACGGACCCCTACTGGCAACACACCCGGAGGGAGGGGATCGGAAAGCAATAAACATCATTCCTTCTAAGAAAAGCTCATCTCCGTGCAAGTTTCTGTTTTGAAATTGTATCAAGAAACAGAAATGTTTCCTACTAGCCTATAATATACACTTGGTCTTGCTTTTTCCTTAAAAAAATTCTTCAAACTCTTCCTAATTTAAGCACTCAGTGCAAATTTATTTAAAATTTATTCATTTTAACACGAGTAGAAATTTTTCAATATGTCTTTTTTTGGTGAGGGCTGGAGGAGGTTGACATTCTGTTCAAATTTAAAGTGAACCACTGTAACCAAAATAATGCAAATGAAAATCAGATTTTACTAATTATAAAATAAGATTTTTCAGAGTAGATTTTGTGTTTAAGCCATTTACAAAGGCATCATCTGATTAAAAAAAGAGGCGTTTAAAATGTCCTTTATCACTGTGAAAACAACAAACAAAATATTGATTTGGCTCATTTCCGCTGTGTGGGGAAAGAAAAAAATATTTCCAGAAAGTCTTCACTTTCTTAAAAGGTCTGCTTTCATCACCAGCAGGACAGAGGAGGCGGAGTCCCAGGCCTGCCTCAGGCAGTGACCTGAGGCTGCTCCCCTGCCAGCGCCACCCCTGCACCGGTGCGTGGAGGGCGCTCAGGGAGGCTGTCCGGCCAGGTTCCCTCCACCTGAAGCAGCCCTGCACTCTGGCCAGCCAGGCGTGGGGAGGGGTGCCCGGCTCACTGCCTTTCTTTGTTAGGTCCCCTTGACGCAGCTAAGGATTTTCAGGGGTGGCAATTCAGCTTTTTCGTCTTTAGGTGGTGCTTCTGGACCACATAAGGCAGCCCAGAAAGGTTTCTTTCTTCTATCAGCTCTACGTATTCACTTTTTTCTGTTGCTGCTCAAGACTTTAAGGCTTTTTTAAACTCTTAGATTTACATAAAGATTTCCTAGCTTTAAGAAATCTCAACACTCAAAAATACAATTTTCTGAAGTCGGTGAACGAGGGAGTGATTATTCACCTAACAAAAGGGGTCTTCACGTCTCAAATGGAGCCAGCTCCAGGACCCTTGATAATGGGGCGGTGTAAAATCGATTTACAAAAATTCGATTTGCATCTACCCATCTAAGAGCACATCTTTTCCATGAAAGGAGGCCCATGTGGGATAATCAAAGTCCCCCGTGGATAAAATCAGACAGGAGCATGTGCCGCACAGCTTGGGTTTTGAAATGGCAGAAGAGATTGACTGGGTTTCCATGGAAACTCCCCAGAAGGCAGGCGCAGGTTCTCTGCACTGGAGTAGTCAGAGGCAGCCGGGGAAGCCGCCCTCCCCGCTCCCTGGCAGTTCCCGGGGACAAATGGCACCGAGCCTATTTTAGGTTCCTGCACTTGTAGATAGATGTAAAGTTCTGTGACATAAAACACTTGCTTCATACATTGCTTCTCTTTCAGTCCAAAGGTAGTTTAGGTGGAGATGGTCTGAGAGAGCACAGGATGAGTAAATAATCTTATGCTCTACTCGCCACCTGGGGGGCGGGTATGTTCAAGATAAAAACATTTGTGCCTTATCTGTGATCTTGCATTTGCCTCGGGGTCTCGGAAATACCAAGAGAAAATAATTTGGGGTAGTGCATGTTATCGTCTGGCTGGAAAAATCGGTCTGAAAAAGACCATTTAGAAATGGCAATGGGTGGGGGCAGAGGTGGCGCCTGGGCAGCTCAGTCGGTTAAGCGTCTGACTCTTGATTTTGGCTCAGGTCAGGTCATGATTTCACGGTGTGTGAGTTCAAGCCCCGAGTCTGGCTCTGCGCTGACAGCACAGAGCCTACTTGGGATTCTCTCCCCCTCTCTCTGCCCCTCCCCTAGTAGTGCACTTTCTCTCTCAAAATAAATAAACAAACATTAAAAAAGAAAAAGAATGGCAATAGGAAAATCATGAGTAAATGTTTTAAAAGGTGTTTAAGTTTTGTAGAATCCAAATAAAATCTGGAGAAAACAACGGGACACTCACAAGCTTTTGGGTTCTGACTTCATGGAGCTGCTCCTTCTCAGCTGGCAGCAGTGTGGTCTCTGCCGCTTTTGCAGATCTAACACAGGAGAGACCTGCGAGCCCGAACCTTCCAGAACAAAGCCCTGTGCGCTCATGGCTGCTCTGACATTGACCACGGAAACAAACATTCTCTTTGGACCTGCACAGGCACTATCACTGCTCACAGCAACACGGGGGCATAAAATATATCCCCTTGTATCAAAACATAACTTAGGGTCTATGCATTAAAACACACAGTCATGGACACTGTACGACTTTGCACAGGCACACGTCACATGAACGTGACAGCTTCGTGTCGGCAAGACACACAGCTGTTACAGCGTTGCCTTCCCCATCCCGGGCCTGAGACCCGGCGGGAGGAATGGGGAAACTCCTCAGATCCACGGGCTGAGTTGTATAACCCGTTCGTTGTCGGTAAGAATACCTTTAAAGTGCTTTCCCCATGGGCGATCATGGCCCTCTCTTTTGAAACTAAATACGAGGATTTGATAAAGAGTTGTATTAAGAAAGACATGTAAAATAGGGCATTTTCTTGCAGTGAAATGGATGTCTGCATTAGAGTGCGTATCACTACGTGCCGTGAGTGGAGACCGGTGACCCACGTGGCATCCGCCCCACTGGTGACATGCTAGTGAGGGGGAGGGCGGGCCCTGCGCACACGAGCACTGCTTCCCGGGGCCCCAGTGAGCTGCCGAGGAGCCCTTGCCAGGTCACAGGTGGCTAAGCCCCAGACTCCGCAGGGCCAGCCCCTCGCTGCCTGCCTGGGGGGTGACCCTGCCTGAGTGCGGCACCCTGGGTGCGGCCGCCTCCGAGACCTTGTGCTCAGCGTTCCGCCTGGGCTGCACTGTGGGGTGGGGGGATCCAGGGGGGACTAGTTTCCCACAGATCGGCTTACAGGAAAAATACCCGGAGGCGTCTTGGGCTCTCTCATCTTGGTAAGAGTCAATCACTTATTTTAAAAAATCTTCTAGATAGAGCAGGAGGAGCCGTGGGCGTTTCCGGGCTGCATCTGCAGCGTCTGCGGTTCGCCTGCCTCGTGATCGGCCTGCGAGGCTGCGGGCAGTAGCCAGACATCCACAGACCCGCTGGGGACCCGGGTGACCACACGCATCGTGGGAGGTGTACTCGGGTTCTGGGCGGCATTGCATGGGAAGGCCCTAGGCCACTTTTCTTGCTCAGTTTTTTCATGGCAACTCTACCAAGGGGACGTATTTGAGTATAATGCCAAATATTAAAAAATATATAATTGTATTCACATTGCTCTCAAGTTTAAAAGAAATCTCAAAAATGTAAGATTAGGCCTCATCCATAGTAGCAAAATGTATTTGTAAATTGGAACGATTTGGGCCACTT